GATCAATTTTGCCAGAAAGTTCTACAAGAATGCTATATATTTTATATTTTATATTTTTTATATTGATACACAATTTTAAACTTAGAAATAAAAGAAATTTGAACGACTCTGAAATGAATCAAATATAAAATAGATAGCATTCTTGTAAAACTTCATGACAAGAGGAGCTCTGCAATACACAACGTAGTAATACAAAAAAATAAAATAAGATACCTTATTCCCAATTAAATAATTAATTTAATTTATTAATTTATTTATTTTAATTTTACATCTCTTCTCCAGCTTCCGCCATTAGATGTATTTTAACATAGTAATATAATTTATTATTACGGTTTAACTAATTATTTTAATGATTAACATAAAGTATAATTTTTATCATTAGAGGGACTGAATATCATTATATCATTACGCTCGTGTTGGATTTCACAGACCTTGACCCATGGAATAGTGTCGGGAAGGTTAGTATACGCTGAGCGCCGTTTTCACCTAATTTTCATCTTCTCCTTCGTTACACAAATTATATCTTTAATATTGTGTTAATAAAGTTAATTATTTATATTAACATTTCAAATAGAGCCTATCTCTGTGTTACGAACATTATTACCCTTATTATATTACAATTTCCCCCCACTTTATATTAAATTATTAATATCACAACAATCTTAAGAATAACTTACAATCATTTTTCAAAAAATCAAACACTTAAAATAATGCTAATTATTAACGTTAATATAAAATTTAAAATTATTAACTTAACATCAAAAATATTAAACCATGTTTTAAAGTTAAATTAAAAGATAAACAAAGAAACATGATCAGAACAGATTACATGCCATATTAATTTTTTCTATAATATTCAGAGGACAATATTCGATATTATCCAAACAATTCTCTATAAATTGATATATTTGTATGGGATTATTCTCTCAAAACACATGAAGATTAAATAAATAAAAATATATACACACTATTTTAATGATTTTTAGATCTAAATATGGTATATGTAAAGTTTTATTGAAAAGGAAATTTCTAAATCGTTATTTTTAAAATTTTGTTGTGAAGAGTGAATTAGATTGAACCATCAGATCTCCGATGTGTAACACTCAGGGAAAGATGGCTGGAGTAGACTAATAGAAGAATTTTTGCATAAAGATTAAAAAATCTCAAAAACTAAAAATCGGATGTGAATATTTTTAGCCAGGGACATGTTCATAATTTTATCCTCTTTCTAATGAGCTATTTTTCGAAATTGTATATTTACGCAACACCGTGTTAGAAAGGCGAAAAGGGAAGAAAATAGTTTCGAAAACCAAATTACAACAAGTTTTATTGAAGATATAGACTAATAATCGGACCTGCATACTATAAGCGAGGGAAATGTTCAGCATTTCGTCCTCTTTATAATAATTATAATAATACTATTTTAGTTAGTTAATAATATATAATATATAATATTATAATATATAATAATATTAAATATTACATATTATAATAATAAATATATTTTATTATATAATATAAATATATAATATAAATATATAAATATATTTAATATATAAATATATTATATTGATAAATATTATAATATATAATATTACATTTATTTATAGCTTATATTTCGTATTATTAATCTCGCCTTGTTGATTTTTTCACTTTCATCGTGTGGTCTAAAGCACATACCTTACTTTATTTTTGTTAAAGAAATGGTTTGAATCAGAAAATAGTGCAAGAACAAATACGATCAAATCTTATTTATTTATTTATTTAGCTCGATGAATTCTATGAGCTAACACGGGCTGTTTCGTCCTCTAAAACGGATCTCAAAATCTAACGGAGAGATTTGTTTTTAAACTCCTTAGAATTATGATTCACTCAAAATGTGATAGTTATCCTGAAATGACCAACCTTCACCATCTTTTCCTATAACCCCATAAAAACCGGATTTTGGGTTTTCCAAAACTATGCCACGGATAAATTAAAATTAGATTGCGAAATCTTCTAAGGAACTCTAAGACGTAAAGATGAAAACGCCCTGTTAGAATGGGATGACCTTAAATTCCATTCAAATTCTTCGATTGGATCAAATGAAGCAGAAAGAGGATCTGTTTGTCATTTTTACATTTTATTTTAATTTCATATTATTTATTTGTATAAGCATCACACCGTTTTCATTTTATCAAGTGGTTATCATGCAATTCGAATTAAAATCATATTAGTAAGTTAATTTACTGTAAAAGCGAAAACTAAAAATGTAAATCAAAATAAAATAGATATTTTTATTTTATCACGTTTGTCAAGTGTTATTTCGTTTTATTAACATTTAAAAAGACGTGTAAATGTATGTGAGTTTATAGGAGTTAGATACACGAATTGCTTGTTATTAGGTACTGTATAATCTCAGCCTGAATCGAATATATAATTTTACCCAGTTTGATTCGACCATAAATTTGTCTATAATTATACGAAATTGGTTGTAAATTAGTTTAAAGTGTGTCATTTTCTCCTTCTTTGCTGATAATTAGTTATTTATGACACTCTAACATAGCCGAGAAACTCATTTGAATTTATTTATAATTTTTTTTAATATTTAAAATTTTTTGTTTGGTATTTTGAAATAAAATTCGAATCCGACAAGAGTTCTTGGTTCTAAAGTTTAGACATCTCTCTCATAATATAAATTACTAAATATATATTTTTTCCAGTGATTTATTCTCCCATTTTTTTCCGCTCAATTATATCATTACATATAACGCTTCGGGATCCACTTCTATCCCATCTTCAGACTAGAGATACGGTATATAAACATACTAGAAAGACTTCCCATTTTTAACTTATTATTTTTATGCATAAATCCATTTATCAAAACTTACCATATTTTTTTTTTAGTTTTATTTAATTGAAGCTTACTTAATATATCCTTCATTTCTATCGAATTTTTGACATTATAGTTGTTATTCCTATTTAAATTATTAAGTGAATTATTTTAAAATTTGGATAATTCATTAGTAAGTCTTCTCTCTCTCTCTCTCTCTCTCTCTCTCTCTCTCTATATATATATATATATATATATATATATAATTGTTAATAGCGATATGTTGTAATTTCTAGTCTCAAGATGGGACATAAGTGGATCCCGAAACGTTATATGTAATGATATAATTGAGTGGAAAAAAATTGAAGATTAAACCACTGGAAAAAAAAAATATATTCTTACTTATATACCTAGAAAATAAGTATCCTCCTTAGGATAAATGAATAAATTACTAAAATTAAAAAGGACCATTTTAAATTATTATGCACTTATTTTATACTATATAATAGTTAAAGACTTTTTTCATTGAGTGAAGATAAAAACAAAGGAAAAAAATAATATAGTTTTAAAAATTATTTTAAATATAATTTATATTTGTTTGGTCTTTTTACATATATTTGTAATTGTCAACTGTATTTGGACAATTAAAAAATTAAGTAAAGAAATCTCTCATTTAGTGCATTTTTAATGTTCTTATCATATTCAGGAGTATGTCAGCTGTAATTAAACTTGGTAATTTAGTTTAAATTTCTATGAAATCGTTGGTTAATTTATGGTGTTGGTTAACTGTTCGAAGCTAGTATGTAGAGTTTTATTTTGTTAGTCACTTTTACCAAGATTCTTTTGTCTTAACAATAAATAAATAACGAGATGATTCTTAACAATTTAAATATTTAAAAAAAAAATGTATACCTCTACGATCCATGATAGGACGGTTCAGTACTGCTTCTAGGGCAACAGTCGTACAGAGAGGGGATCGGGTCAGAATCACGGTCAACCACCAGGTTTTCCGCCTTAATTAATTATTCAGTTAAGAGCACCTCATTTATGGACACTGGATGTGACCCTTTGGGATCTCGCGATCTCGGAGTCGATTCACGACTGATAAAAAATTGCCCTGTCATCAGCCTGATTCGAACCTGGGACTTCAAGCTTAGAAAGTCAGTGCTTACCTATTGAGCTACCCCCCCCCTTCTTATTTAAATATGATATAATAATTTAAATATAATATATGACTTCTGTTCATTTTTCCTACTTTTGGTGTCTTGAAGTTTTTTTATTTGTTACAATAAATTAGGCCATTTTTCACCAACCTTTTATTATTACGCATCAATTTAACGTTTCGACCATACTAAGGGTCATTTTCAAAACTGTAAAATTATAATATATATAGTATATATATAATATATATATATAGTATATATAGTAATATATAATATATAGTTAATATTCAGCATTTATAAAATGAATTTCTTATTACATTTAATTGAATTGTCTAACATTCTATGTCAAATTATTTCCGATATACTTAAATTTATATAAAAATATACATAAGGTATACACTTTTTTTTAAAAAAACCCTTACATGTACGTAACTATAAATACCTTTTACGCAAATATAATTAATAAAATTCGTATATAATAATATAATAATCCACCAATGCAAAACATTAGAAGGAAAATCCCTCTCTTTTTGAATATCCCCACCAGGTCGATATAAGTCAGTCCCTCCTGAAATGACGTAGGCTAAGCACCTATAAAAATTGACAAGTAATGTTCTCTGAACATATTAATTAGAACATTAAGGATGAACATATTAGGAGGACTCATCAAGGTAATAAGCATTTGTTTTTAATTGTTAGAGTTTTAATGGTTATAGTTACGTACATGTAAGGGTTTTTTTATAAAAAGTGTATACCTTATGTATATTATTATATAAATTTAAGTATATCGGAAATAATTTGACATAGAATGTTAGACAATTCAATTAAATGTAATAAGAAATTCATTTTATAAATGCTGAATATTAACTAATAATGTTATTATAATTTTACAGTTTTGAAAATGACCCTTAGTATGGTCGAAATGTTAAATTGATGCGTAATAATAAAAGGTTGGTGAAAAATGGCCTAATTTATTGTAACAAATAAAAAAAAATAATATATGACTATCAATACATGTTACTTACGAAAAGGGAATGAAGGAAAGCCCTTAGGCGGCCAGAAGACAAACCTAGGGCTTGAAACGCAGCCCAGGCAGTCTCTGCAATCGTCCTCCATCAGCCCTCTCTCCGCATCTGTACCACACACTTCCATTTCGAACTTCATTTTTCTAAAAACAAAACAAAAATGAACTATATAAATAATGTAAAGATAGATAGATATAAAGTAAACTTTATTCTGGGACGAGGTCCCTTATGAATAACAGTAATGAACAAAAAACTAAAAAACTACATCTGGCCAAAAATTACATTAATCAATATTAATGAAAATATGCTGTATCTCAGTAAAAGTATATTAAAACTAGTAAAAATAACACCATTTCGAACAAAAAAAAAAACATTATTTAAATGAAAAACAAAACAAAATAATGTAAGCATGGGTTGATTTTTAAAATTAAAACTCAATCAATTTTAACAACCACCTCAGTCAAAATTTGTTTCGCAATATTTATTTCGTTTTATAACTTCATCTTGGGAGAAGGAATTGGTAGAGATCATATTTAAATGAGGATAAGGAAGAGGCATGGCGGATATCAGATGGCAAGGAATTCCAGAAGGCAGTGGATCGGGCAATAAAGGAATATTCAAATGTCTTGGTTCTATGGGAAGGGATATAAAGGTCGGAAACACGGGATCTTGTTTTCTGGGAGTGGACCACGGGTTTGAACAGTAGGAGACTGTAGATGTAGGAAGGGTGTCGGGTGTTGATCGTTTGGAATAAGAAAGATCCAAGGAAATATTGTCTGCGGAAAGAAGGGAAGAGCAACTTTAACTCGTCGTAAAGGTGGGACACATGAGACCGCCTCGATGTACCGAAGACAAATCTTAAGCAGGTATTCATGAGTCGTTTCAATCTATCCTCGAGTACCACCGGGATGCCTCCGTACACCACACGGCCAATATACATAATATTAGTTTTAATTTAATAATATTACAGGTAAATCGACACGTTTGGAATGTAAGAAGATATTTTAAATGGAAGGATTGGAATAAAGAAAATAAAGGAGCATGGTGAATATTAGATGGTAGGGAGTTGCAGAAAGAAGTGGGTCGGGCAAGGAAGGAACTTTCGAAGGTTTCAGTTCTGTGGAAATGGGTATAGAGGTCTGAAATACGGGATCCATATTTCTGAGAGTGAATCAGGGATTTCAATCGTAAAATCCCTATATATATATATATATATATATATATATATATATATATATATATATATATATATATATTTATATATATATATATATGTGTGTATGTATACAATCTCCTCCAATTTATATCGTGTTTTCACTTCATATTCACGAGATCTCGTTCTTCTAACTTTTACACCCCTTTCCACAGACTGCTTCATTTTATTCAACACTCTTATTATTTTTTATTTTGTATTTCTTCATTATTGTTATTCTCGAGGAACTTTGTCCCAGAATAAAGTTTATTTTCTATTTCTATTTTTATATTTATTGTGATGAAATGAAAAATAATTTTATTCTGGGACTGAAGTTCCCTTAGAATAATATTAGAGTTTAAAAAATATGTACATTAGTCTGGCACGTCAGTATTATACAAATATATACAAAGAATACCTAGGAAATTGTATATACACAAAGATACTAATGAAAATACAAGTATATAAAAAAATAATAAATACCAAGGAAATTATAAATATCTACAAAACATATTAACGATAAACACAGATATATACAGTAAAATACTGAGATATAAAAAAATTAATAAATAAAAATAAAATGACTTCTATCAATTAACTGATGGTGGGCAACGTAATTATATAACCCAGAAATTTTTACATGCTTGCGGAAGTTTGAATTTGTAGTAGGTGGTGGAATAGGATTTGTTTGAAGGAGTTAATGGACTTGGTTTGACATACGGGGATGGGTAAGGAGTCCCATAAGGAGGTAGCAGGAATGACGAAGGATTTACTGAAGGAAGTGGCTTTATGGGAGGGGATATATAAATCTATAGGTTATGATCTGGTGTTGAGAGAGTGGATAGAAAAGAGTAAAGTAAGAAGTTCTAAGATGTAGGGAGGGTTTTTGCTTCTGAGAACTTGAAAAAGAAAAACACCAAGAAGGAATTGCCGTCGGGAAGAAGGATATAGCCACTTCAACTCGGTGTTCCAACAAGAAATATGAGAATGCTTGGGAATCCCAAATATTAATCTTATGTAGCAATTCATAATTTTTTTCACTCTCGCCTCCAGTTCTGTGGACAGCCATCCATAATTGTATTGATTGCTATTAATCCAAGAGGCCAAGCAAATATCACACTCAACCAGCAAGTGTTTATCTAAATCTACGAAAGGTTCTGACTTCTTATCTCAAAAGTCGAACCTTATTTATTTAACTGGAAAAATTCTAAAAATTGGAATACATCCTATCCATTCCTTACGATTTCTCTTATAATTATCGCCATATTTAAATTATCATTAAGAAAAAAAAATCATCGTAAAACTACAACCATAAAACAAAACACTTTAATCTCAAACACGAATCAAGGACTATTTGAGTGCCTGTAAAACAAGCTATTAGCTATTGAAGGAGACTTTCAATAGCTTGGGTAATATTTAATCGCTCTCAGATCTCGAGCACTTATCGAAGAGTTAAATCTTACGTCGAAACATCATTAATTATATCAACACCTTGTAGTGGACAATAGAAAACCACAAATTAAAACCAAAAAATTGAGAAATTTTCGTTACTTTCACAATTCCGAAAACTTGTGGCTGAACTGAAGTTCTCATTCTAAACATCGGCAATTACTTTCACTGTCGTTTGTTCCAATCGACAAGGAAGAGAAAAAAGTCGTAGGTTTGGAAGTATCATTGTCGATATATTCGATCCATTTTGTTTATATATATGATTTTATTATGATTGATGAAACCATCCCAATAAATAAGGTTTTGAAAACTATGATTGGACAGATATACATTCTTTAGTAATTTTTCAAATATATATTTTTTGAACATTCTCATTATCGTGGCTATATTGATGAGAATTCCAACACGACAATAGTAGCAAATTAATACATTTATTTATTCAACAATTTTACAAATACCGTTTGGCAGATTTTGTAAATGTGATTTTGGAATTAGCGTGAATCCGTGATTGGAAAAACCTCCCAGTGAACGCACTCCTTTCGTGATAATTCTTAATGTAGCAGATCCCTACTCCAGTGAGGTTAAAATCTCCTTGTTGGATTCATTGGTAGTTTGTCTGTTTGTGATTTTTACAAGTGAATTAGGATGTTGACCTAAGGAGTTGAAAATGTTTAAAATATTCCTTAATTACGTCAGTCACATGTGGTTACGGTAATAGTTAATTGGTATTTTCTTGCTACCAAATGTAAGAAAACTTTGCAAATTGGGGAATTTTTTTTTTCTCTTGCGTTTGAAATTTTCGAAGTCAATGGATCAAATTTGGTTTCCCTATTTTCTCTTATCCATTACTTTCGGTAACGCAATCACAAACATATTTTATTTGATTCGCTAAGATAAAAGTTAGAGGAAACCTTGCGAAATCCTCATCAATTTCATTAAGATCAATCTATTGTCAATCAATTTCATTTAATCCCCATCGTGTCCCACGATTTCTTCTACGCTTCATACACCTGGAAGAATTTTTAGCTGAGGAACTGACAGGGAGAAGTTATCAACGTGGGTTCACCGATTTCAACGAACCTTTTTGGATATGTATGCTACATAAAATAGTATGGACCCAATCTCCGTAATAAATTTTTTTATATTTTTAAAATTATTTTAATGGAATTTACAACTGTATTACATAGAAAATACAATAATTAAATGTGAAATTGGTAACATGACATGTACAACATGAAGAGAAACTACCCATTGGTAAAACTCAAATTAAAGTTCTATATTAGAATATCCCGAGGCCATCTTCTTTTCAGACGCCTCGGATGGTTATCAGGGATCGAGAAGGAAGCAAGGTTTGGAACGAGAGGATTCGGATGGTTCTGCAGTTTGTTATGGAAGAACAGGTATCTGGATTGGGCCAAATCGGAAACATATGGAACATTAAGGTCTTTATGGATGATTTTATTTGTGACAAAGTAAGGAGCGTTGAGGATTTTACGAAGGATTTTGGATTGTAAGGATTGGATACGAGAGGAATTCGGTGATTTAGTGGAGCGCCAAAGCTCAATTCCGTAAGTCCAAATAGATCTTATTATTGTCATATATACGAGTCGTTTATAATTGATTGAAACCTTAGATCGTTTGTCTAGTAAGTGCTGTAGTAGTCGAAAACGTCGGGCGGTTTCTAGTCGTTTCAGTCTGGTATGGGGGTTCCAAGTGAGTCGTTTGTCAAAGTGGAGTCCTAAGTGTTCGACAGGGATAAGAGGGCTATTGTTGAAGGATACTGTAGGACAGGAAGTCATAGGTTTACGACGAAGAGTGAAGGTTATTTGATGGGATTTATTGGAATTTATTTTAATCCTCCAGTTTTGACACCATTTTTCAAGACTTGTGATGTGTGATTGAAGAGTTTAGGATGCGATAGATGGATAGTTATTAACTGATAGGATACAGATGTCATCGGCATAGGTGGTGATGGCAGTGTTGGCCGTAATAAAATTAAAACTAAAAATATAAAAAACCATCTTTTCGTATAAAAGTGTAGATTATAGTCTAATTAAAATTATTATTATTTTTTTTTTACAACCTAAATAGAAAATTAATTAGAATCGCTGGTTGATAAAATATGTTTAAAAAAAGTCTTGGCTTTTTTGCTCGACACTTAACCTACTTTTGTGTTACTTCATTCTGTCAAGTAATTTTACATAAACATTCTTTATCAGGGGGTCTGACCTCAATGTAATGGTTTTAGAGTATTCAAATTACATTTAATAATTTCATTGTCGTGGATCACTAATCCTGGATTTAATTTTGGGAGGAGGAGGCTTTAGCTCGAAAGATTTTTGTTTGTACAAATATATTAGGATACTTAAATACTTCGAAAGAAAGAAAGAAACTAAGTACCTATATGAAATGGCCTTGAAGTGATTCTTTAAGTCCTATTAACTGTAATTAGACGAACTTACTACTTTATAATACTTTTAGAGATAATGTTTTTCATAAAAT